TGACGGTAAAAATTGGATCCGATGGAAAAAACATATTCAATTCTTACTTGGCTTCCATGAAACCCTAGAAGTGGTTACCGACGGCGTTCCGACATTGACTACAAATGAAACCGACGAACAGAAAAAAGCCCACAACGAAGTCAAGAAAAAGGATTGCAAGGCTGCTTATTACATTCAAACGGTTGTCGATGCTGCTAACTTCGACAGAATCTCTCATGCTGAAACAGCGAAGGAGGCATGGGATATTCTGGTAAAGTATTTCGAAGGAGGTGAGAAAGTCAAAGTTGTCAAATTACAGACCTTGCGTCGACAATATGAGTTGTTGTCGATGGGAGAAGATGAAAAAGTTGCAGAATATGTGTTGAAGGTTCAGAAACTCGTCCATCTCATGAAAGGTTGTGGTGAAACCGTTACTGATAAGATGATAGTTGAGAAGGTAATGAGAACGTTGACCTCTGACTTTAATCACGTTATCGTAGCTATTCAAGAATCCAACAATCTTGAAACCACTAAAGTGGAAGATTTGGTTGGTTCGTTGGAGGCGTATGAGATGAGGATTGTCGAAAGGAAAGTAGTTCAGGACTCGATACAGGCACTGCAAGCTCAATCATGGAAAAAAGATGGTGGTTCCAACAAATTCAAAGGCAAGTTCGACAAGACTCATGGCAAGAAGTCTTGGTCGAATTCCCATAAGAATAAGGTCGAAGATAGATCTTCTGAATCCTCGAAAAAGGGAGGAGGAAACTATCGAAAGGACAAAGAAGATAAGAAAGGTATGCAGTGTTATAACTGTGAAAAGTGGGGACACTTGGCCAAGAATTGTTGGTACAGAAAAGACAAGGGATCGAAAAGCAAGGACGAAGGAGCGAACCTTGCACGCCAAGATTCAGATGATTCTGAAGGTGGTATGATGGTTAAGGGTGCAGTTACAGATAACCATGTTGAATCTAATATCTGGTTTCTCGACTCAGGTTGCTCGAACTACATGACTGGTGGAAAGGAGTGGTTGGCAGATTTTGACGAGTCGAAGAAGAGCAAGGTAAAACTTGCTGATAATAGTCCGTTACAAGCAGAAGGTACTGGCAACATAGTCTTTCAAATGAGTAATGGAGGGAAAGCTATGATCAAAGATGTGCTCTATGTACCTGGAATGAAATGCAACTTATTAAGTGTTGGACAACTAGTTGAAAAAGGTTTCTCAGTTGTCATGAAAGATGGAGTTTTGAAATTTTTCGACACTAAGAACAATTTGGTTTTACAATCTCCATTGTCGAAGAACAAGACATTTAAGACTATGATCAGTTCGACAGAAGTTCAATGTTTGAAAACTGTTGTCGACCACAAGGATAGTTGGTTGTGGCATTTGAGGTTTGGACATTTGAATTTTCGATCACTTAATCAATTGATTACTCAAGATATGTTTACTGGTATTCCAAGTCTTGAGATGCCTGAAAAACTTTGTGAAGGTTGTTTAGTGGGAAAGCAATCCAAAAATTCTTTCATTTCGACTATGTCAATGAGATCATCCTGCATTCTCGAAGTGGTGCATTCAAATGTATGTGGTCCATTTGAAGAACATACAATTGGTGGAAACAGATATTTTGTTTCCTTTGTCGATGAGTTTAGTCGAAAGTTGTGGATCTATGTGATCAAACCAAAGGACGAAGTATTCGAAATCTTTAAGAGATTCAAGATACTTGTCGAAAACCAGAGTGAGAAGAAGATCAAAGTTCTACGAACAGATGGAGGTGGCAAATACACATCTAAGATGTTTGAAAATTTCTGTGCAGAACATGGTGTTGATCATGAGGTAACTACTCCTTACACACCTCAACATAATGAAATTGCTGAAAGAAGAAATAGAACCATATTAGATATGGCAAGATGCATGCTGAAGCAAAAGAATTTGCCAAAATCTTTGTGAGGAGAAGCTGTTTCGATTGCAGTTTATATTTTGAATAGCTGTCCTACTAAGATATTGAAGAACAAGGTTCCTGAAGAAGTGTGGAGTGGCAAACGATTATCAGTAAGTCACTTGAAGGTGTTTGGCTTTATGTGTTACAAGCATGTTCCTGATGCAAGGAGAAGGAAGCTTGATGACAAGAGTGAACCTATGATTCTGGTAGGATATCATAAAACTGGTGCATATAGACTATTCAATCCAGTTAATGAAAAGATTGTGTTGAGTCGAGATATTGTGATTAATAAAAATTCTACCTGGGATTGGAATTCTAGTAATTCAATTAACAAATCATTAATGAACTTTGATTTCGACGAAGAAACTAATGAAGTAGAGGTCAAAGGAATTGTTGAGAATCTAGTCGAAGTCGAAGAGGAAGTGGTTGCTGACACTCCCATCACAGTCGAAGTCGAAGAGGTTGTGGCTGAAACAAGCCAAAGACCTCAAAGAAATAGAGTTCTTCCAACAAGACTTCATGATTATGAAGTGATGGGTGATGATGAAATCACACCAGATGGAGAATTAGTTCATTTTACTTTACTTGCAGGTGCTGAACCAATCAACTATAGCGAAGCTTTGAAAATTAACAAGTGGAAGTTAGCTATGGTCGAAGAGTTACAGGCAATCGAAAGAAACAACACATGGGAGTTTGTCGAATTGCCAACACATACAAAAGCTATCGAAGTAAAGTGAGTGTTCAAGTTGAAACACAATGCATGTGGGTCAATAGCAAGACATAAAGCAAGATTAGTAGCTCGAGGTTTTCTTCAAAGAGCAGGACTTGACTACTCTGAAGTAATTACTCCAGTAGCAAGATTAGAGATTGTTCGACTAGTAGTAGCATTGGCATGCAACCAAGGCTGGTCAACATTTCATCTAGATGTGAAATCAGCATTTTTGAATGGTCTTTTAGATGAAGAAGTTTATTTTACACAACCTCCTGGGTTTGTGATTCAGAAGGAAGCGAGTAAATTATATAGATTGCACAAAGCGCTCTATGGCCTCAAGCAGGCACCTAGGGCATGGAACAAGAAGATCAACTCATACTTAGTCGAATTAGGATTTGTCAAATACAAATCAGAGTATGGTGTCTATGTTCAGGTTATAGCACAAGATATAACAATCATCTGCTTGTATGTTGATGACTTTCTAGTAACTGGAAATAGTTTGGAGAAATTGTCGAAGTTCAAAGAGCTGATGACGAAAGAATTTGAAATGTCGGATCTAGGAAAATTGTCTTATTTTTTAGGCATGGAATTTCAAATGTCGAAGCAAGGTATGGTGCTACATCAAAGAAAGTATGTCAAAGAAATACTCAAGAGATTCATAATGGATGATTCAAATCCTACATCCTCACATGTCGAACCAAATGTGAAGTTGGAGAAGAATGGAGAGGAAGACAAAGTCGATGCAACTTTGTTCAAGCAAATTATGGGATCTCTGAGGTATGTGTGCAATAGTCGACCTGATATAGGTTTCACAATCGGATAGTAAGCAGATATATGAGTGAATCAAGAGTGTCACATATGAAGGCTGTAAGAATAATCCTTCGATATTTGAAGGGTTCAATAAATTGTGGAATACTATTTCTACGAGATTCTGAAGGCAAAGAAGCAATAGTTAATTGTTTTTCAGATGCTGATTGGTGTGGAGATAAGAAAGATCGAAGAAGCACAACTGGATATTTCTTTCAAGTATTTGGTGCCCCAATCTCATGGTGTTCGAAGGGCAACATGTGGTGGCATTGTCATCGTGTAAAGCTGAATATATAGTGGGATCCTATGCTGCATGTCAAGCAATTTGGATCAGATCTGTACTTGAAGAAATGACTGTCGAAGTGAAGAAACCTCTAGTATTGCAAATCGACAACAAGTCAGCCATAAATCTGGCGAAAAATCCAGTTATGCATGGAAGAAGTAAACATATTGAAGCAAGGTTTTACTTCTTGAGGGAAAAAGTAAATCAAGGTGAACTTGAAGTTAGACATTGCTCAAGTGAAGCACAGTTGGTCGACATTTCCACCAAATGATTGAAGATCGACAAATTCCTGAATTTAAGAAAGAAATTAGGAATAGTTCAAATTGACTATTTTTGAGGATGTTCGACAACTTGGATTATGGAGGTGTTGAAATATTAAATTAGATTAGATTAGATTTGATTAGATTTAATATTTAATATAATCCAAGTTGTGTTAGCCCAAGCCCAATTAGGGTTGTATATAAATAGTCATAGTGTGTATCATTATTTGTACATTAGAATAATACAAATTCTTATTTCCTTTATTATTCTCTCTTTCTCTCCTCACTAAAAGTGTCTCACGCACTTAACAATTTTTAAAGTTCACAATCCATTCACTTTTGAGAAATTTAAACTCATTAGTTTGTGTAAACTGGCCTGTAAGTTGGTCTTATAGGCTGATGCTTAGTGAAACCGTGAGCCCTAAGTGGAGTAGATTCATTGCAGGTAGATGTAAAATTGATAAGACTATTTTTCTCCAAGAATTCATTTTTAATTCTAAAAATAAACAAGGCAATGTTATTTATAATCTTAATCTTGAGAAAAATAATGAAAAAATGGTTGTGATTTTTTCCGTGACCCCCTCCATTACTTTGGATTTCTTTTTGGAATTATCTCTATGAAAAGTATTTCCTCTACTTATTTCTCTTTGTCGTGGAATGAGAGTAAAATTGAACACTTTCAACCTATCCATGACCTCCAAATAAGAGATTTTTTAACTCCTTATTTTTATGTTATTTGCATGGAGATACTTATTGATTTGATTGATAAGGTAATTAATCAATGGGTTAGTGGAAACATGCACATATAATTCATGATGATCCCAAAATATCTCACTTGTTCTTTATTGATGTCCTGCTACTATTTGCACTGGTGAAATTAGGATATAAAGTTTGGGGTGACCACCAAATTAAATTATCATTTATAAATTAAATATTTATACTATAATGTATATAAAATATCTAAATTATGATAAATAAAAAGTTGAATATGAAATGATTAAAGAGTATTGTATAAAAATAATTTAAAGTAATATTCTATAGTTTTTGAGTAGTTTGAAATCATCAATAATAATAGTTTCTGAATCAATATTTGTAATTATTTCTTTTTCAATGTTACCCATATCATGCTATCTTTTAGAAAATCAACTTCCATTTTGTTTCTCAATTTTGTCTCGATAATTTTCATTGTCGAAAAAGAACTTTCCGTAGTAGCAGTAGATACAGGGAGAGTCATGATAAGGCGAAACAATCTATCAAACAAATAATAAATTTCCTTCTTTTCACTTGCAACCAAAGATGAACATAATTCTTGAATAGTTGACAAATTATTCAAACTTGAGGCTTGACGAGCGCCAATAATAAAATGTCGAAGTTGAAATTTCAAATTAATTTTCTTTTTCTCATTGAAGTCCATAGGATGATATTTTTCAACTAGAGTACGAATGGTATCAATGTTAAAAGCCTTGTAATTATCCTTAGGAGACAAAGCACAACTTAGAGTTAACAAATCAATCGCTTGCTCACTAAATTTGTTATTCAACTCTTGCAATTGTTTGTCAATGGTAGTGAAAAATATTTCAACTCTAAAATAATGCTCAATGGTTACCTGGTTCTCGTCAAGACGAGAACGACCAAATCTTGTTGTTGATTGAACATCATAAGATCGGGAATCTCAATATCATGTTTTTCACAAAAAGACTTCACAAAAACAAACAATTCATTCCAACCACTTTCTCTTAATTCTTGAATAAGAGTTTTTGTTGTACAAACCAAATTCATAACATTAACTACATCCTGAGATTGTTACCGTAAATCTTGACAAAGCATATTTGTGATCCCCATAATTTCTTTCATCAAATGCAATATGAATATGAAATCAAATGACTTCAAATAATTGTAAGCACTATCAGCATCTCCATGTGAAACATAACTTAATCCTTCCTTTGAAAATTTTCTTGAAACATTATAAGTTGCTTCATACATAGTTATCAAGCTAGAAATAGAAGAGAAGTGTGATCCCCAACGAGTATCCCCAGCTCGCTTCAAAGTACCAATTTGATTTTCACCTTTACTAGTTACAAGCTCACCAATCTCTAATAAATATTCAATTTCATCTAATTGAGAAACTTGTAACTCGTCATGGCGCTTTGCAGAAGAACAAACAACATTGACAATTAAAGTTAGCTTCTCAAAGAATTTATGAATTGGTTTAACTTCTATTGATGCAGTAACCAAAGCAAGTTGCAATTGATGAGCAAAACAATGAACATAATATGCATAAGGACAATCCTTCATAAAGAGTGCTTGTAAACAATTTCATTCTCCTCTCATATTGCTAGCACCATCATACCCTTGACCAAACATGTTAGAAACATCAAGGTTATGCAAAGAAAGTATATCACAAACTTTTTTCTTAACAGTTAAAGATGTAGTGTCACCAACACGTGCAATGCCAAAAAATCTTTCTTGTATAAAATCATCTTTATCAACAAATATCAAAACAAGAGACATTTACTATTTCTTGGACTCATCGCGCGTTTCATCTACAATTATACAAAATTTAGAATCACCAATTTCTTCACGGATATACTTTTTCACCCTATTTGAAAGAATGTACAAGATCTCTTTTTAAATTAGATGTGAAGTATATTTGTTATTGGATGAGGCATTTTTCAACACAACTTTTACAACTTCATCATTGTAACATGCTAAGAATTTTATCAATTCAAGAAAATAACCTTGGTTTAATGATTCGGTACTTTCATCATGACCTCTAAAAGCACACGTTTGAAAATTTAACCAACGAACATTGTGAATTGAAGTCTTGAGACGTAGTCGACTCTTCATGATTTTAATTGAACTTTGAGCTTGAATAATATTCTTAATGTGACCATCTTGATTCAATAAGCCTTGACGAGCTTTCATAGCATTGTTATGTGGTGAACAAGGATCTTTCCCTATGTGTTTAAAGAATGCATAATTCTTTCCATTTTTAACTTTCTTCCTACATGTAAAACCCGTAGAAATGAATACATCAGAGCCAGGACGTCCACTTGGTCTTTTGCTAAAAAAGATAACATGGTAAGCAATAAGCAGCATCTTCTGAAGGTGAATATTCTAACCATGAATGAAAAAGGCTAAACTAAGCGTGTTGAAAGCGTCTTTGATGGTCTTCTTTACCGGACAATAGATATTGCTCCAAATTCATTTGATACGGATCCTATTTTAAATAAGCTCTTTGTATTTCATCAATTTGATTTACATGATACTCTCATATTTTTCAATGTTTTCTAGAATAACGTTCTAAAGACTTTTCAATATCATCCGAACAAATTCTATTAACATTTCTTCAATTCTTGGATTCTCAAAAACGCTTTGAGGTTCGAACATAGATGTTAAATTCTCTTCATCTCTTTCTTTCCTCTTGAGAAAATAATTAATTTTATTACTCTTCATTGTCACTTTTGTGCTGCATAATCAATTAAATAAATTAAGACAATACAACAAAATCTTAAAATTCTCTAAATTTCAATCTTACACATATTAATAAGTTTCAATTCTCTATCCCTAACAAATTAACAACTAACCACCACTACCATTTTTCTATTAGTTATTTTTTGTAAGTAAGAAATAAGAATTACATGTTAAGAAGATTAAAGATTTCAACTTATAAAATACCAATTTAAAAAAAAATCACATTATCACAATATAAATACAATACTATTCTTCAATTTCAATAAAAATTATCAAACCAAAACACCAAAGATATCATCATTACCTTACCAGCTAACATTTTGAATACTTAATAATCAATAAAACAAACCAAAATGACATTATCACATTATCACAATACTATACTTCAATTTCAAACAAGAACATCAACCTATAAGCTACAACAACACAAGATTACTTCAATAATCAAAAATAAAATTTAAAAAACAATATCAAACCTTATTTAAGATTCAAGAGGAAGCAAGTTAGATGATTAAGATGAAGAAGATGTGGATTGTTGAAAATCAATTGGGCGAATTGAGACTGCTTGAAATGAGAGAGTACTGAACAGTTGAACGAGAGAAAGATAACTTGTTCTTCTGGAATATAGAAATAATATTTAAGCCCATGAGGAGCTTTGTAGTAGCAGTGTTGCATGCTTTTATTTGATGTATGAATCTAAAAAGAGTAATAGTACTTTTAGGTGCATGATAGAAGATTTAAAAAACCCTAATTTCCAAATGAATCTAGGATTCTCTAGCATGCTACAACATCCTAATACATGCAAATTGATATTTTCACTAAGTTATATTCTTAGGTAGTGTCTCTATTGATTCCAAAACTCATTTTTATTTGCATTTTTCACTTGTAAACTTTACTTTAGCTTTGTGAAATTCAAAAATATTTTATTTATTTTGTGCAAACAAACTATTTACCATGAGAATGTTAAAGTTAGAAGCATCAAAGTTCTTGTGGGTTCGATCTTTTTATATTACTTGTTAGCAATGTATAATTGCACTAATAATAATATATATTTGGAATGCCGGTAGACAAGTGTGTAATTTACCTAAATGTCAATATAATTTTCAAACATTTATTAGTTTATTTAGACATGAAGTAGTTATGAAACCCCTTGATTTATGCTTAATTAAGAATTGTCTTGATAAATACTCATTGATCTTAATTATATCTTTTTGATCATGTTAGGTTGAAAGATGAAAAATAAAGGAAAAATGATCAACTTTCAGTTGGACAAGTGACTCCAAACACAAGAAGAGTGGTGAACTATGTGAGTTTGAAAAACGATATCCAAATAAAAATCTTTGATAAAAATAGTGTTTAAAACAAGTTTTTTAAATAAATAGAGAATAAATGGTGGAATAAGGAAAATCAGAGTAAATATAAAGAAATACAACAAAAGTAAATAATTTGTCGAAATGTAAAGAGGTAAGGTAAGATAAAGATGCACCAGAGACTTATAGAGATTCGACCTAACCACTTGACCTACTCTTTTCCCCAAGTATTTCTTCTTGAGAGTTTCCACTATGATGTTAGCTTTTTGCAAGTTTTTTCCACGAACCTGCTTACAAACAGGCTGAAGTTTTACAATGGCTATCCTCCAAACCAAATTGAAGTTTTAACTACAAAGATCTCTCAACCATGAGATTTTTCCACCATGATAATCTTGAACCAAATAAGAGCTTTTAACACCAGACTATACTCATGATCAAACAAAAGTTTTAACTACGGAGACCTCTCAATCAAATAGAGGATTTACCACGTTCATCTGAACAACAAAATAAGATACTTTAATTGGTATAGCTCAGAACCAAAACAACCTTCTCACAAAAGAAATATTACAAGAATGTCTAACACCAGAGTCAAACACTTCAAAAATAAAAAGATTCACTCTCAAAATCACTAAGGAAAAATGAAGAGAGAGAGAGAGAGAGAGTATAGAGAGTTTTTTGGTAGTTTTAATTATGATCATTCGAAAGTGTGTATGTGTTTTTTTGCCTTAGTAATTCAAGAGCTAATCATATACCTTTACATACACAAATCACTCTACATGGATAAAGCGAGCTTTCACAGTTCCTCATTTTCCCAACTCTGAAGATCCAATATCCCTAGCTTGATACACCTTGGTTCAAAACTTCATTTATGACTTGAATTCTTTTATCTGATGAGGCTTTATAAGGCTTCTCAATAAATACCATCTTTAGAGAGATTGCTTGATTAAAGATCTTCACCAACTCAACCAAATTTAGCTTCACATTAGGTCGTGTCCTCTAGAGATAGACTTTGACATCTTGATCTTAAAGCACCACAATTTGATCATCACAAAAGATGGCATCATGAACTCCAAGTATCTAAACTTGATCGTCACATCATATGACATCTTGATCTCCAAACATCACAGCTTGATTATCACATCAGATGAAGACTTAACCTCTAAGTATTGTCACCATTAAACCAAATAGGTCAACAAATTTCTACAATCAGCATTCCTGCAAGCACATAGATCCCCACTTTCGAGCTAGATTGAGTATCTGATCTAAGACCAAAAATCCAAAGTCAAGCCAAATTTGTTGGGAACATATAAGCTCAATCAACAAAAGTTATATATAAAGTATGTTTGGAACTTAAGAGCAATTTGTTGGGAGAATATGAGTTTGGTAAGCAAATCAGAGGCCATTGAAAGATTTGGAGACGAAAATTTTTTTGGTTGAATCTTCATCTCGCCCATCTAAATTTTGAAAGCTAACCAAGTGAATTTAAAAATACTTTGGCTCAAAGCAAGCTAAAAGCAAGAGTTGATGGGAGAATTATAACTCACATAACAATTGAGACAAGTTCCTAAGAATATATAAATAGGGAATAAGCCAGTTGTTTTCATATATAAATTTTACATAGTTTTAGTTAGTTTATAGTTTAGTAAAACTCTCAGGAAGATAAAGTTGAAGTTATTAAATACTGAAGGCCTACCGAGGTGGGCCAACCAAGGAGTATTAAATTTTCCAAGAGAGTTTATGCTTATACACCTTCTATCTAGCTATTGTTGTCACATGTAGATAAGTTTTCTCTTGTTGGGGTTAGATTTGTACATTATTATGTATTTTATATACTTGATGTGATTATGGTATGATGCCTAGATTAATATATCAAACTTATTTGATTTTAATCTTACTCTTAATGCATGTTATATATTTATTAAAATTGTGGATCTATAAGGTATCAATAGGGTCTCATGGGTTAAGACCAATGGTAAGTTATGGTTATTCCTGGAAGAACATGATCGATTAAAACATGATATATGGATTTATCTGATGCCGAAAGGTGTTGTTTTTAGAGAACATTGTTAACTGATCTTAATCAGATAACAATGTTTGTATAGAAATCATATCATTCATATTGATGGGGATGCCTTCCTTTAGGTTCCAAGAAAGACTTGTTTAACTCTTTTTATGAAATCTTTGGAAAATGAGATGAAGTTTGATTCATGGAGGAATTTGATCTCAAATAGACCAACTCTCGCTTTAAAGCGATATGAGTTTGAAGCAAGGAGGAAATTATGCCTATTGATGCATGTGTAAGGGTGTGTGGGTAAGGGCAAGGTCCACATTGATAACTTTCTTCCCTCATCAAATTCATTTTTGGTTTCCTAACTCACTTAGAAAAATTTGTAGACATGAAGAACAACCCTCTTAAAGGTGATACCCTTCAAATAAAGCCATTAATTATAAAATGCATTAGTTTCCCTATGAGAAAGGTTGAATTCTTCCTTTAAGAAACTTTGTGTTTTC